TAGAGGTTTTCTATCAAGAAACGATTTTCTACTTTTAATTACAATTTCGAAAATGCATGTGTTACCGTCTTTCACAGCATCACACCTCAACCTCGGTATAACGTATCTAAGCGACGTTGAGATCCAAATAAAAATGAAAATAATTTGCCGTCGCGGTTTCCATTCGCAGACAACGCAAATTTTCGTGATTTCACGTTGTTAGGGACTTTAAGCAGTCAGGACTGCAACGTCACGGAAGACGTCGATTAAAAAATGAGTTTCTACTTTTAGTTAGAATTTCGAAAATTGCTGCATGTGTTTACCGTCTCATAGAGCGCCAGACCTCAAACTCAACATAACGCATAAAAGTAGCGTTGAGTTCCAAACGTAAATTAAAATAATTTGCCGCGCGGTCTCGCTTGGCAGACGACGCAAATTTTGGTGATTTCACTTTGCTGTTTTGCAAAGCCGACGGCTAAGAAATGTACAAAGTTTTAAAACACATGTGCTGAGCTATTGTTCTGCCAATTAGATCTATTGTTTTTCCACGTTCTCGTTGTCGTAGCCGTCGTGGTTTGCTTAAAGTCCCTGTTGTTCTGCAGAGGACGGCTAAGAAATGTACAAAGTTTTAAAACGCACATTCTGGCTATTATTCTTCCCATTAGATTTTTTGTCTAACCACCTCCTCGTTGCCGTCGCCATCTTGGCTTTCTTAAGGTCCTATATAGGGCGCCGTTTGTAAATTTATTATATAGTTCGTTTTTGGTCGTTTTTTACGGGATATGTTTTTTTATTTATGATAATTTCATTTTATCCATTGGTTATTTAATAAAACCAATCGGTGGGTGCCATTTGTAAATTTATTAATTGATATAACCAATCTTGCGTTACGTGGTTATTTGATATAATCAATCGGGTGGGCGCCGTTTGTAAATTTATTATTTAATATAACCAAACTTGCGTTACGTGGTTATTTGATAAAACCAATTTTATGAAATTGTTTTTTAAAATAACCAAGGTGTCCTCAGACTTGTTGAGTTCCAGACCTGACCGGCTTAGTTTTCGCCCCAGCAGTGTTGCAGCGAGTGTTCAGTATAGCCTATTCCGAGTTCGCTGTGGACTAACTGCCTGGCAGTCAGAAAATTTCAAGATGAAAGATAAAAATCGCTAAATATTTTCGCACGTGTGCAAATGAGCCTGTGGATCATATTTCAAAAGGGAATATTCAATTTGTCCGTGACTGAAGAGGTCTCAAGTTCCACGGGAATCTATACTAAAATGGCCAAGAAAAATATTTTGGGACGACAGATTTATCCAAAAGAGTATTTGATTTGCTGTTATAAGCGAAAAACGCACGAATTTCTTACGCGTACAAAGCCCACGCGGTAAAATTCACCATGCTTAGATTGTTGTTTACTTGCCTTCATGGCCAGAAATTGCGCAGTGCTATATTGAAAATTCTGAAAATTCTTCGATTTCACGCAAAAGTCTATTAAAAAATAATTTTTTGAACNTTGCCTCCTCTCACTGAAGGGCCAGTAATCCATTATAAATAAACCCCAGCAGGTCTCCTGATAGTTTCTTGCTCGACCTATTTATATCAAAGGAAGGAGAAAAGCACTGTGAGAGTAAAAATCATAACATCCACTTCCCAGTTAACTTAAGCTTCCATTCAGATCTTTCAATTTTGATTCTGAAATGAGCAAAGATGAGAACTGCATTATAAGTATAACATTTACTGTATAAGGAATTGGGGCCCACAAAATGTTCACAATAATGTCAATAAATTAGAATACTGAGGTGAATAATTGGGTATTAATTTTAACTTTCTATTTATTTGCACTGTTATTAGTCAGAAGGGTAATAAAGTGCTAACTGTTTTAAATCAGGTGGAAAGAATTTCAGGAAAAGATGACCAAGAAAATGATTGACCATTTTGGTATCACACATTTTTCCTGCACTGTGTTGAACAGAATTGGAAGGACCAATCATTATGACAGTCCTCAGAAAGTCTGTCTCAATGGGCAGTTTTACAGCTGGTACTTCTTTGACTATATAAGAAAGGTGTATATTGCCTTAGAAAACAACAGGAAAGCCAAACCATTGATGTCATTCATGCATTTCAACACGGGACATGAGATGACCGGGACACGAATGATCAACATGGATGCCGGTATGGCAAAGTTTTTCACGGACATGGCCTTGTTTCCAGACACCTTGACTGTGATTTTTTCCGACCATGGTCACAAAATGACTCCATTCAGTTACACTGAAGAGGGAAGGAGAGAGTTATTTGATCCTGTGTTCTTCATGATCATACCTGATAGTGTTAAGGAGAAACTGGGTCCAGAAAGGATGGGAGCCTTGGTAACAAACCAAAAGCGCATCTTTATGTTGTATGATGTTCACAATGCATTCATGAGTTTGCACGATTCTCAGAATAAGGACTCCAATAATCATTTAGTGTCAGGAATATTTTCAGAGATTCCAGCAAACCGCACTTGTGCACACTTGTACATGCTTCCCTTAACCAGATGCAAGTGTGAAGGTTTTGATGAAGCAATTCCAGTGAAGGACAATGCAGATGATCACATTTGGTTGGCAGAATTTGCTGTTGGATACATAAATGATGCTATTCAAAAGCAATACATGGACGGTAAGATGTGTTGTGTTATTTGTTCTCTGTTGTTTTGTTCTGCTGACTCTGCATTTAGTGGGCAATGAATGTAAAATACTGCTGCTGAAACAAACCGTGAAATTGAAGAAAGCAAGGGATTATGGGTACATTAGGGTGAGTTGAGGCAGGGTCGGGTGGGTGGATGCAGGATCAATGAATGGAGAGAGATGGATTCTGCGGGTGAGGTAGGGAGAGGTTAGATGGGCCTGGTGGGTGGCCGCTATAAGTTAAGGTGAGGGTGCAGCTGGGTAAGATGAAATACTTCTGACTCTAATTAACGAAGTGCATTTGATTTCACTTTTATTTATTTTCCACTAATTCCCATCAGGAAATGCTGATGCAAAGAACAAGTATGGCTACGGAAACTGCCAGCGCTTGGTTGGAAAATCATTTGAAAAGATTGTCAAGCGATTCCGTGGAGAATACATCTTTACTACCATGGACATTCGTGTGGTCCCTCCTGTCGGATTAGCAGAGGATGAAGTTTATAGAGTCTCTGTTAAACAATTTGCCAAACCACGACAAGGAGTATTTTTTCTCAGTTCTGTCCGGGTAACGATGTATAACAAGTTTGCCTCGTGTGTAGATAAATCTGTGGATATCAAGCTCTGCCTATGCGCCAAAGAGCAAACCACAGACGCCAACAAGAAAGAAGTATTCCTTCACAATGGAGTTCCTCGCAAAATGTTTGGCTCGGACACAACTGTGAGAGACTTGGATTCGAACTGTTTGTTATTCTTGCGACGGAATTATGGGTCGTTTTCATTTGGGTTAGAAGTGGCAAATGTTTGCCCAAATCGAACGTATACATTTAAACTAACAGGCTCTATGAATCAAAGGATATTCTCTAAGAGTTTACCTGTTGGGCTGGAGTTATTCCCGAAGACATTTCATTTTTTGACCTCTGTATACAAGTACCTCTCAAAAGTAAACGATCCTTTAGAATTAAAAGCAAGTGTAAGGATTAAGAAGGATGGAACAAACACTTTTACTAATTTGGGGACCTTCAGTGTTACATGAGAGTAAAAATGGTGGTCAAATTATTAAAAAAAAAATTTTTACCTGTACATTAAGGTCTTCAACACTTCAACTGCGATTCTATAGATTTAAATTCTCTATGAACATACGTTATGATATTTGATTTATCAATTTGTGTGTTAATAGAAGTTTGTTTCTTGCGACAAATCCGTTGTTGTAACTTGACTCGGTAAATATTAGACATATTATATAGTTTGGTTTAACAACTGTGTTGATAATGTTAATTGACCACCATAAAGATTTTCTACAACTGACGCTTCAAACGTTTGCCCTTCGTCAATTTGCATTACCAACTCAGTTGATAAAACCAAATTATGTTACTCACCCACCGTCGAAGCACCACAGCTTCTTTAGAAACTTACGCCCTTTAATAGTTTTGGACAGTGATTAAGAATTAGTTTATCTAACAGCCCGGGCCGTCCTTCGCGACGGGGGCTGGGATTCCTGCAGGCAATTACTCTTATTTACAATAACCGGCCGTTTTCTATAACCTCGATGATACAGCATATCTATATTATACTTGTATCTCTTTCAAAAGAAAGGAAATAAATGGTCCTCCCTGTTAATGTTCCCTCGGTTTTTGCACTCAACCTCGCTATCAAGGTGTGATTTGATACAAATACATCAAGATGTGATATGATTCAAGTACATCATGCAAAACTATTCGTCACTCGAAGAGTAGCTCCAACGAAACAAGGTTGCCTAGAAACAAATGAATAAAGGTTGATAGTTTCGGAAGAAACTGTTTGGGGCTGCGTCGGTGGGAGTAACGAAATAATTTGGATATATCAACAAAGTTGAAGTGGTAAATTGCCCACCGTAACGATTCCAAAAGCTGACGTTTCGAGCGTTAGCCCTTCGTCGGAGCGAATAGAGGAATTGTGGGTTGTGTGTGCTTTTAAAGGCAGAGAATGGAGCTAAGTTATTGGTGGGAACATGGCCAATTTACCTCTTCAACTTTGTTGATATATCCAAATTATTGCCTAGAAATAGACTATGGTAGAAAAATAGCGCGTTTCGAAGCGTCTAGGAAGACGTATAGGAATGCAAACAAATCCATGCTTTAACAACAACAAACATATGAAACATATGTATGAACTGCGGTTATGAAACGTATATGTGCACGATCCTTCGCAGTAAAGCACTATTTGAGCAATAGTGAAAATCAGAGGTCAGTGGTTCGAATCCCGTACAGGCCTGAAATTTTTTTCAGGTCTGATTTTCACTATTGCTCAAATAGTGCTTTACTGCGAAGGATCGTGCACATATACGTTTCATAACCGCAGTTCATACATATGTTTCATATGTTTGTTGTTGTTTGATTTATCTTCTACGGGTTTATGTCGAATTAATTTGATGGCCTGCTCCCAGATATAAATCCATGCTTTGATCAAAATTGTAAGATACAGCGACATCGGAAGCCTTTGGTAAGCCCAGATTGAAGAACTTCATTCGAAGTGAATCAAAAGGAGACGTGATATAAGAAGCCTTATCATTATCATAGAAGGAAAACTGGCGTTTTCATTCAAACTGAAGTAGCATGCAAACTATCTGCAGGTCGAAACTATGTATTTTGAGGATTACTTTTTTCATCAGTTTTCTTTTGAAGTACTATTGAGCAAAGGTTTTAATGCAGAGACGCTTTATCTGAAAAAAAAAATAACAAAAAACTTAAAAATGATCAAAGTCAGTGTTTTTAACTATATAGTGTATGTGCTATCTCCTTAAGTATTCAACCTCCAACCATCTGTAGCTGCTCTGTGGTAGTAGCCAACTCGAAAGCTTGGCTCCTTTGGCTACTACACACTCTTTCCACTGCTTTGTGTAATTTCATGTATAGTTAGAACTCTCTTCTCTTTTTTTTTTACTTTTTTTCTTTCCTGCTGTTGTATTTTTTTAGCAAAATAAGTGTGAATAAAGTTCTGAAGTTCTGAAGCTAATTTTTAACTCGTTTTATTTTATCAAAACGTTGACTGGGTGTTCTCATTCTTCTGTGGTTTACAATGTTGACAAAATTGATCTCGAATTGTTTGCACGTTCTCATAAGTCGGTGTTAGATATTGATACAAGAATTACACTACCACGGTATTATCTCAGTAAGCTATTTGTTCCATTAAGGTGTTGTCTAAAGAAATTTGGAGACTTTCTCTTCAAATTGACGCGGGTGGCAGCCTTAGCGTAAACAGAGACAAAAAGAAAATGGCTGGCCATGGCCTGATACTTTTTCCACTAGTGGGTTGCAGTAACAAAATTGAGTAGAAAATCTCCTTAATTTTTGAATTTGAAATTACAATTTCTCTCTTCCTCTCGTTTACTTTGTATTCCTTTTGCGTTCACGCGCGCTTTTGTGTTCACACTTTTGTGTTTTCACGCATTGAAAACTGACGTGGACATTTTTCGCGTACTTTTGTTGTTTGTTTTATGGAGTTGTTTTTAAGTTGTCGTTTGGAGTTTCGTTCACGCAAGATTTTACCCCCTTGTTTGTAAATTTATGAAGTTTCGGAGTTTTTATCTAAGCCAAAGGTTGTGGTTATTTTTAAAAGTTAAAAAAATATTTTCTATGGAGTTTGGAGACAAGACTCTTTTTCCGTAAATGGCGTTTTATTACTTACAATTAGTCTCTACTTGTTTCCACCGTTTAATTTTAGCGTTCGATTTTGCTCGGAACTAGCCTACGTGTGGCCATATCCCTTCCTTAAGGAGAAACGGAAGCGAGGGAACGTCCTCTGTTTTTCCTTGGGGAGGAGGGTACGGTTACACGTAGTCTAGCCTGGAACACCGGCAGTTTTCGAACAACATTCCTTTGTTGATGACGTTAGGGTTTTGATGTTGCACACGCACAGAGCTTGATATCAACTGACTTGTCTGCGCAAGGTGCAGATACTAACCCCTGGATTGGACTAAATTCTATTTTAGGAGAAAAATAACGCCGAAAATACCGAATGTTGTTTACCTCCTGGTTTTGTTTCAGATTTCTCTCAGTTTATATCTATCGGTATGATTCTTGCCAGATTGGTTCAAATTCGTTTTTTAACTGAAGATGTGGGGTGTATTTGGTAAGTGAAATATTCATTTTCATTTTCTTTTATACATATATTTCATGTTGTTCATAGGCTTTTTTGGATCGGGACCAGGGGCATCAGAACCTCTTTCTAGAGAGATGGGGAGAATATGTAGCGGATTTTAAATATTAGCTGGTATTTTAGAAAAGATAAAAGCCAGGTAGTGATTTTTATACTCGAGGATAGGCGAGGCTTATGTTGGTAACCCAACAAACCGAGAAATTTCGGTTGTGACATCAACTTCACGAAACTTTCCTTATCGATTGGGAAAACGTTTAAGAGAAAATGATCGTCTACTCTTGATTTAATCATCGCAATTCACAGACTCGGGAAAGCTTATGATAGCTTATCACTTCAGTTTTTTATTCAGTCTTTGGTGGACTTATATTCATCTTTACTCTCTCTACTTTCCACTTAGCTCGCCTGTTTTGTGTCAGCTCTGTTTGTACTTGAGACTGTGCAGTGGTTGCCCATGATTTCTACCTCGAGATTGACTCCAAAGGAGAACTTGAAGACGGCTAGTCATGCGTCAGGTGCGGACGATTGCGACTAACACTACAATCCTTCAGAAAACAAAAGAGCCCTGCTGGCTTGATTATTCGTCAAAAAAGGTGATTGATGATGAAGTTCGATTTCTAAAGTATAACTTGACTTCTTTGCTTAGGTCACCAAAATCAAGTGCAAGCCTCACAGGTAGGAAGAGGACATAAGTGATGCTCCATTATAATAATAAGGCTTAATTTTGTGCCAAACGGTTACTCAAGAGCTTGATGTTATTTTCATAACTAGTGCACATTTAGCTTAATTGTTCTTGTAAGGAACTGGGCAATAAAGTTATTCCTTTTAAAAGGTTTGCATGATACGTAAAATCAAGACAGATCTCCTGGTACGTAAAGCAGTAGCAAATATGTCTCCTTTGCTCAAATGTTTTAGGATGCTGATTTAAAACCGAAATTCATTGGAAGATACGATTGAGCAATGTTAACTAATGCTGTATCGAGAATAGGAAATGTGACGGCACTAATTACCCAGACATCTGTGCTTTCCGAAAAACAGAATCTGGATACCACTCCCTGTCATGTGACCCCAAGGTGTGTGACTCTTCCGCGGTTGAAATAGCTTCTATTGATCCCAAAATGGGAAAAGCGCTAGCAGTGACGAGCTGGGAACTAATGTCAAAAGAACGAATCAAAAAACGGTTCAAAAGGCCATCAAAACCAATTTAGAAAGAGGATTTAGTTTTCTTTACCTACGATGTGGAAGATATTTTCAAGTACTCAACTTTCCTCCCGTCTTGAACACCAGAAGACACACAGGGCTTGCACTGTAAGTATCCCGGAGAGCTTCATACAATTCCCTATAATTTTATTATAAGGAATTGTATGGAGCTTTTTTAGCGTTAGTCGTGGCGTGGCGGGTGTTGTCACGTATGATCCTTGCGAGGATCATACGTGACAATACCCGCCGCACCTCGACTAATGCTAAAGAGCTCCATACAATTCATTATAACTTTACTATAACTTTTACCGCCTGGTTAGCTCAATTGGGAGAGCGCCGGACTGCTGTGCGGGAGGTCGAGAGTTCAATACCGGCCGGACCAACACTCAGGTTCTTAAAATTAATTGAGAAGAATAAGCTTCCTTTCTTTAACATCAAGAAATGGTTAGATATTCTAGTCTTCTCGGATAAGGACGAATAAATGGACCTCCCGTCTCCCGCAGGGTTGGGGTAGGAGACGTTAATTTCCCACGCACGAGATTACTGTGTGATGGATGTCCTCCCTGGGGTGGGTTGGGTGGGTAGGTGAAATCGCTACGGACTAAACATGGCTGCCAGAGGCGCCTGTCTGATTTCAACCTTAAAATTGTAACTAAACACGTATGTTGTTTAGAGAAATAGAGACCTTTACCTTTACCTTTTACCTTTACCTATAAGGAACTCTATAGAACTCTCCGAGATACTTACAGTGCAAGCCCTGTGTGTCTTCTCATGAAAGCCGACGGCGGCAAAAAGGGAACAAGAATCAATTTAAGTGTGATTTTGTTAGGGGCTCTGCACAATATTTCACATAATCCTAAGATTCAGGCCACTGCCTTGGATTTTGAACTTCTTCGGAGCATCGGAAAGCAGACTTTTGAAAAAATAAGGCCGTTCTTCTGTGACGTCGTCGAAGGTGAGTTGAATTAAGCCCGTTGAAAAGTGAGTGTGGTGTAAGTTATTCCATGCATCTTGGTGGCGATGACTTTTTGATAGTGTTCTTATGAGGAAATGTTTGCAGCGTCTTTAGACGACAACGAATTAAGTTACTGCTTCTCCGAAGAACGCTAAAGCCTCTTTAGAAAGAGAGCAATACCCCAGTCGAGTTTTGAGTTTAGAAACAGGTAATAACCGGGTACACGATGCATGTTTGATGCTGAAACGATGATTCGTTTTGATACAAATGTCATGCAGGTTTTTAAGGTAATTATTTTGCCTGTTTCTTGGAGCAGGTTTCTTCTAATGTATGAGTTCGCTGGACCGAAAAATGGATTTTTTTTTCTTAATTCTTTAAGAGTAACAACTTACAGCAAATTTGCGCCTTGCGCTGACAATTCGGTCGATATCAAGCTCTGTGCATGCGCCAAAGATAAAACCGATAACCTTACCAAACAGGTAGTGTTGTTTGAGAATGGTGTTCTCAGAAAAATGTCTGGTTCGGCGTCAACTGTAAGGAATCTGGACTCCAACTGTTTGTTGTTCTTGAGACGAGATAACGGATCGCTTTCTTTTGCATTAGAAGTAGCTAATGTTTGCACAAAAACGACATATAAATTTACTTTGACAGGCTCAACGGATCCAAGGGTTTTAGTTTAGTTTAATTTATTCGCCACAGGAATGGCAGGAGAATGGAACAGAACTTTCGTTCCAATTGACACCTAACCCCTTTTTTACCCACCCATCCCACCCCGGGGAGGACATCCATCACACAGTAATCTCGTGTGTGGGAAATTAACGCCTCCTACCCCAACCCTGCGGGAGACGGGACCTCCATTTATCGTCCCTATCCGAGAAGACTAGAAAGTCTAACCATTTGCAGATATTATTACAAAGGCAGCACTTTCCTCTCAGTTAATTAAAGACCCTGAGTGTTGGTCCGGCCGGATTTGAACTCATGACCTTCCGCACAACAGTCCGGCGCTTTACCAATTGAGATAACCGGGAGGCGGTTTTCACCGATACTTTACTCAATTCTCTTGAGTTACCTCCCAAAACCTTTCATTTTCTAGCATCTGCTTCCAAGTACATCGTCAACGTAAATACTAACTTAAGTTAGAAACAAAAATGCATTTGAAAAACAGGGAATCGGATATCTTTCACGTTTTAGGAACAGCTTGGGTTTCGTAACGTTCAACATGCTTTTAGTCGAAAATTTTGTTTTCTTTTTCTTAATGTTTGTCACAGATCTTCCTATATAAAGTGAGTTTAAAGTGCCGTTTAGAAAAGATACGAACAAAACGTACAGTGTTTTGGGTTAGGGTTAGGGTTGATTCTATCTAATTTATATGTAAACATCCAAGTTCCATACCTTAGAGGTTTTGTACTGCACAACGTATATTTTTTTAATAGGATATTTAAGACTGTAGTATGGTGAACATTGTTCTAGGAGAATCGCTATTCAGGTATTTAAGAGTAGTGCTAACAGAGCGAATAAATATATCATTAATATTGGAGAGTAGAAATGGTAGAACGTAAAGGATAACAATGAATTGTGAGGTGAGTTTTCTATCTAAAGTCGTAAATCTGTAGTTACTTTCAATCTCTGAGATGTTTTGTTAAGAGAAAGTCACTAGAAAGACACAAGAAATTGTTGAAATCTAATAACTCGACTCCAGTCTTACTTTTAATCTAAGGGACATTGGTTGCCTGGTGTCGGTACCTTAGTGTAAATGGTTCCCCCCTCCCCCTTTGCGCAAACATATTGATGTGAGCAACGACCCACTTCCAAAACTGATTTGTTTGGCAACACTACCTGGACAATGTGATCGGTATAAGCAACATCTCTCCTTGTAATTGATGTGAACAATATCCTCGGTGGTCCTTCGTCTTCGTAGATTTTGTAAGTAACATCACGTCATACGTCATGCTATATGTGCCCGGCCGTGCGCACATAGATATTTTTTACTATAGCAGCTCTTTTGGAATTAAGTAGGACTTACACCTGCAGTATGTTAAAATAATTTTTACCGTTCGAAAAACGAAGTGAAAAAAAGAAGGAATTATTGCAATTACGAGATCCGCATGGTAGATTCACCATACTTAATAGAATTTACGACTGGAAAATTGCGTAGCTTTGTTTTGAAAATTCTGAAAAGTTTATGCTTTAGAAACAAATCTTATCTTCAACAACACTGCTAGGACGCACTTACACTTCATTTAAAAATAATTGACTCAGTAAATCTCTGTGGCCTCTGTACAGAGTTATCGTCCTTAAATAATGTTTACATTCGCCGTCGCTTGCCAGTTACTTATCATAAGAGAGCGGTTCACCATTACCAGGGTCGGCTAAAAAACATTTTACTGCTTCTCGACTGATAGATGATTATCGTTCGACCTGCTTAAGTATGGGGCCAAGGTTCGATTATATTAAAGGTTCGATTATATTTTTTTCATAATTATGTATGCGCCAAAGCACTGGGAATGATAGCACAACGCACTTGGTGGGTGCAAGGTGGGGGTAGGGGTGGGGGAAGGGAACGCCAAAAACCGGAACTGGCTTCAGTCTTGTTAGAAAATCCACGTGATGTTTTAAAGGGGAAGAACAAGAATTTATACTGTGTTTTCTCTTTACGACTTTCTCTTTCTATTCGCGCACCAAGGAGAGACTTGTCTTTGTTCTCATAAATATAATTTCTCATCCAACAAGAAAATTTGGAGATTTAGTAAGTGCAAACGACTGGGTAAGTACATGTGGTTTCTTCGAGGTAGTTATTTTGCTGTCGGTGAAGTTTTTTGAAACTAAAACAAAAACCAAACTCAAACCGTAATATTTGTTATTCGCACTTTCTCTTTAATGGGACCGGAATGTTTGTAGCATTCATGAAAACGAACAAAGAAATAATCAAACTAAGCAACCATAGATAAACTATTAAAACAACAGCTCGCTTCCAGTACAAGAGAGCATTGCAAGTCTTTATGCATGTGATTGATTTCAACACGAATCGAGTTCAATTGAATATGGATTCTGCTTAGATTACGGAATGTGCTATCTCTAGTCTGAAAATGCTTTATAAAAAGAGTTGGGTAAGTCCCAGAATTGGCAACATTTCCTTTCAGTTCAGTAATTTTTTTATTCACTTGCTTTAAAATTAAATATAATTTCGGTTTGAAGGTACTATACAGAGAGGAAATCATGAGCTGTAGCGGGTATCAGTATATGACAGTTTTTTTAACAAGGTAAAAAGAAAGTTGTAATGAAAATGTATTTCCCAGACTTATTTCAGTGCAAATGAGCCGAGGATATCACATGCATGAGAGCACAGTTTTTTGTTTTTTTTTTCAGTTTTGTAATCATGCTTCAAGCCAAGCCAAACTGCGAAAAGACTACAGGGCTCACTCAACAGCTCAGGCGATTCTCTGCAGAACATGTTAAAATAAATAAAGAGGACACTCATCAAACCAAGCATCTGGTGGATAGCTACCTAAAAAATGGCGTTTTACGATATATCTTTGATAACTCACAACCCCTTGCCATCAGCAAGCTAGAATACACAGGAAGCCTTTATGAGAGACTTAAAACTGAAGCAGCTGATGAGGTGGATGTCATGGTAGTATTACAGACAGACAAACAGGAAGTAATACTAGAGGATGCTGGGGTCCCGGGGTTTGTGCTGCTGAAGTTATTAAAAGATGATTCACCACTTAAAAAGTATACAAACACAGATGGTTATATTATCCCTGACAAGCTGCGAGCAAGTTGGTTCTTTGGCCTTGTTCAGAAGGCAGTTAATGAACTTGTATTACAAGGTGAGATGAAAGTTAGATCACACGGCCCAGCGGTACAGCTGGATATCACAGACAGCAACTCAGGAAAGAAGCTGTCAGCTGACTTGGTCCCAACCTTCCAGATTGGTACCATAGACTACTTTGTTGCAAAGTCCTATACAGGAAGTATAGTTCCTGCCTGTGATTGTAAGCTTCTCTGGCGAAAGTCATTCTCACTGATGGAGAAGGCAAGACTGCAAGAAATGGATAAAGAGGACCATGGATGCAGGCATGAGCTTCTCCGAATTATCAAGAGCATCATTAGGGGGGAGGCAACCTTTGCTAAATTGAAAAGCTACCATTTGAAGACAGCATTTTTGAGGTACAATAGCAATTCAAAGGTTTCGTGGGATAAAGACCAGCTTGGGGAGAGGTTTATTGAGTATCTGGAATCGCTTTATGCTGCTGTAAATAGCAAGAATATGAATCACTTCTGGGTTGAAGGAATCAACCTCTTGGATAATATACCAAGTAAAACTCTGGAAAACATGGCTGATAGGCTGCGAAAGATTTTGGATAGTGACAAAGAAAGGAATAAAGTCCTTAAATGTCAAAGTAAGTTTCTCTTTGAATATTTGATTGGTTTCTACTTTCACTGTAGTCACAGAGATGACTCTCAGGGTCTTATTTGTCTTTGCACTGTCCAACTTACAAGCCAGAATCTTCTGTGCATAAAAAATAAATGTGTTATATCCCTTAGTTATTGCTAGTCATCCTAACCCTTTACATCAGCATCCGTATTCTCCATACTGTTCTCTATACATTTCCTAGGGTGTTGACGAGGAGAATTTGTTTAATTATCAAGAGCTTATATGGTGGTCAGAGACCTACCTATTTATTTTTCTAAAACCTAAATTTGGAAAAGATTATGGTAATATTGATGTATAGAATTGTTTATCAAGTTCCAGTTTCGATGGCTACAAATGACAACAGAGCTGAAAACTGTCCAGTCACATCACCAGGGAAACCAAAGCCAATTCAGCTTGATATGCAACAAACTCCAACAGATCTTTTACAAGTCTTGCGCAGATTTCTTGACAGCCTGGGTACAGTTCTCAGTGAAGATGCAAAGTGGTCTAAGGAAGTTATTGAGCAGGTTGTGAAAGATGGATTGCTGAAATACTGCAAGGAGAAATCTGATGTCGATCTCCTCAGTAAATTTGAATATGGTGGGAGTTTGTTTGAAAATTTGAAAACTAAACACTCTGATGGAGATGATGCTGTTATCCTCCTTGTCTTAAAAGGAAAAAAAGGCTTCATTGACTCTGAAGTGAATGATGCAGGATATGCAGGGATCAAAGCAACAGAGGGTTCTCCTTATAAAGAGTTTTCTAATCCAGATGGCTTCCTTGTGCCTGTGAAATTCCAAAACTGGCTTTTCAAGCTGATTTCCAAAGCTGTGCAGAGCATTACCAGTAAAGGAGCTTCAACATTATCTTTGAAAGCTTCAAACTCCAGTGGTTTGAAAGTTTGCATCAGTGAGCAGTCTAAGGCTTTGGAGGTTCAGCTTGTGCCCACATTTCAACTTGACGGTGAGTATTTTGTACCATCCTCTTCTCAGCATGGGTATCTCCCAACAGGTGTGGCCCAGGACACAGCCTGGATCAAGTCTTACACCTTGATGCAGAAGGCTCTCCTTAAAGACATGGACAAAGACCAAGGGTGTCGGCACAGCTTGTTTAAAGTGGTAAACACAGTTCTCCACAAAGAAGCAACATTTTCACCCTTGACATCATTCCTTCTCAAAATGTGTCTACTCTGGTACAACAAAACTACTACTGACTGGGGTCAAGACAGCTTAGCTGAGCATTTTACAGGTTTTGTGACCTTTTTGAGGGATGCACTTCAAAAGAAAGAGATTCAACACTTCTGGATCCAGGAATTAAACCTGTTGACAAATATTTCGCCCAAGACCCTTGAAAACATGCACACTAGGCTGTCAAGAATCCTTAACAGTGAACAGGAGAGGAGGAAAATTCTGAATATATAGATTGACTTAAACAGAAACTTTAATTCAGTGTTTTGTGCTTTCTGTGCAGAATTTGTTCAATTGTGAAAGACAGAAATATTGCAACACATAATGCTGAGCTAATTGAAATATTTAGGGAGTAGCTATCTCACAAAGAAGAAAAACAATAGTTAATGGATTACATAATGATAAATTTCTTAATTATGGAAAAAATTGCAGGAAATGAATAGAACAGCACAATGCATGGAGTTCGACAGAAGCTGAAACCAGAGAACTGATTGCTGTCAATGCTAAGATTTGTAGCTGCCTACTTCATGCTTTATTTTCTTTGTCCTTCACACCACACAGGCATTGAGCAAACAGGAAAAAAGTCTCTGTTTTCTCCCTCCCACACCTCATTGTGTTTGGTAGGTACCCAAGATCTCTTACTTTGATTGCACTCGGGACAATGATGAAAAAGAAAACTGGGCTTTGGAGAAACTCACAACCCTGTTAATACCCTGAGATCAGCATGCACATTCTTCATACTGTTCTCTATACATTTCCTGAGGTATTGACTAGGAGAATTTGTTCATCAATCAGAGCTTGTTTAGTTAGTGACCTTTTCCTTTATTCTCCTGACTTTAATGTTTTACTTAGGGGTGTTACTGTAAGGAGAAATTAGCTTCCAGTCACTCCTAGGAGTCAAAGGGTTAAGGTTAAAAAAAAGTTGTCAAAAACCTGTTAGTGGCACATTGACTGTGAGCCAGCCCATCCACTGTTTCATTGTTGAATTGAGACTTCAGGTGTTGGAAAAAAGCAACAAGTAAAACAGACAACTAATTAAAACCAGGTCTAATCAATGGAATGGTTGGCCTGTTCAGACCAAAAGAGGGAAGGAAGAGGAAGGAAAGTAATGCAAGCACAAAACACAATTCTTGGGATTCATTAATCTCAAACTTTGCACTTTGTGTTGGCAGAAACTTCCCTTTTTCCCTTCCCTACTCGATGTACCAGCCACACAGGCAATGGGAAAGTGAGGGGTCTTGTCACTGGCCAACCCTTCTTATCCTAAAGTGCATATTCATAACATCGAAACTCCACATGTGTTTTTAATTTATTTTAATTCAGTTTGAAACTAACACAGCTGTAAATAAAGGAGTGTATCCCCGAAAAACAGACATTGCACATTGTATATACAGGTGTATGATTTGAGCAGCTGCCTCTGATGCTTGTTCCACAGATCAGATCTCTGGGCCCCTGAGAATTTGTTAAGGATTAAATGCTACTCAACCTAGAAAAGATTTAATGAATTAGTCACTAACAACTGCATGCAGTGCTCTTTAACACATCAAAAACTGGAAATAAGAAGTTGAAGAAAAGATGAAAAACTTAAACAAACAAATGAGCAACAAACCTTGTGAAAAATTTGGTTATATCAACAAAGTTGAAGTGGTAAATTGGCCACCGTAACGAAAAATTGCAAAAAATTGCTAACCAATAAAGCAAAACAAAATATGGGAACAAATCGAAGATGCATGGACTCAACAAAAATTAAATAAGCACTTCTCATGAGTAATGGAACTTGCAGGACAAGAAAGATGGCTGCAAGTTATTTCAAAAAGGATACTCTCCACCAGGAATAAGCTGAAAAGAAGTTGAGAAAAGGGAAAATGAAAATACCCACTACATTTAAGGAAGCAGTCCAGAAAGTACAAAAAATTAACATGATGCAAAGGTCTGGTTAAAAAATCCACTACAAAAGTGTGTCTGCATGGTGATTTCTTTCACTTTGGAAAACTCTCAATGAGTATCTCAATAAATGAGGAAGGCACACAACTGCTGCAAAGAAAGGCTTGATGCAAACATAGAACAAATGTTTTAATAACATTAACTTTTAACATTAAGTACCATGGTTATGTTGTTCCCGTTCAGCAGAATCTGGTCGAGTTTTGTCATTCTTCGTCCCTCTGGTGTGCTTTCACTGTCAAAATTAGACATAACATTTTCACTAGATCTTATAATATTGCTTTTTGCTTCTGTACAAAAGGGATGTGGGCATTTAGAGGAGTGCCTTCCAGAATGATGTCGTAGATACATTAAATTACTAGTTTGAGAAAATCACTGCTGGTGACTTGCGGACAATGAACACCTTATAATTGAATGATGATGACAAAATTCCAATTTTATATACTTACAATACTGTGACATCTTCTAGAACAATGTCTGAGAGCAAATCAAGGATGAAAAGCAAATTGTACCTACAAGATAAAACAACTGACACAGCTCAAACAGAAGGAAGTATAGAGAAAATTCAAAAGGAGTACATCTTAGTAATAGGCTGATGGGGATATGCTGCTAGATAGGGTCACATTTTCACTGCTGGATTGATTAAAATGGGGTTGCATTTTCCAGTGATTTCTTAGAATGGGCTTGCACATTTAGGGATTTTGGGGAATAGAAAATTCTGGTAACTAGGGTTTTTAAAATTGCCTACTAAAAGGCTTTATGAGGTAAATGCATAAACAGAAAGTGACTGGGTTGGGATCACAAAAATTGCATTTGCCAAAAGTGACTACGATGGAGACTAGAATTACCTACATATTTGACTCACTATGGGTTCTGAGAGCCCAGCAGCTTTCCCTTGCAATTTTTGGACGAAAAACTATACATTGTACAACTTTAAATTATTCTGAAGCATAGTTTAAAACTTACACAACACTAAAAAGTTCTATTTGGTGCGACCAGCATATGTTACTATCTGAGTAGTAAACAATCAGAAAGGATACTGACATAGTCATCAAACCCGAGAAGAACTCCAACAATCTCTTTGTCACTCTTCATTACGATGTGAATTCGAGATCCGATGCACTTGTCAATTAATTCTGAAAGAAAGAAAGAAAGACTTTTAACAAATGAATTATTTTTATAATTCTCCATAATTTGTTTGTCTGTAGATGGGAGAATCTGCTCCTAAATCAGCCAAACATGTCTACAATCCATAATTTGACAGTTACGTAAAATTAAGTAGGTTAGGTGCACGTGTTATTGAGTGAGGTAAAAGTATACGGTATAATTTATATCATTCTTTCAATTAGGCTCTTGTAAATCTCAGTTTTTTCGGATGTATATATAATGTTTTCTCCCTGTAGATAGCTTTTATTCTTTTACGTATGATGCAAGATCCTCGCAGTAGAGAGCGCTATTTATGCAATAGCGAAAATCAGACCTGAAAAAAATCAGGCCCGTACGGGATTCGAACCACTGACCTCTGCGATACTAGTGCAGCGCTCTACCAATTGAGCTAACAAGCCAACTGGGAGCAGGCCGTTAAGTTGATTCGTAAAAAACCCGTGATGATAATTCAGATACGTTAGCTCAATTGGTAGAGCGCTGCACTAGTATCGCAGAGGTCAGTGGTTCGAATCCCGTACAGGCCTGATTTTTTTCAGGTCTGATTTTCGCTATTGCATAAATAGCGCTCTCTACTGCGAGGATCTTGCATCATACGTATCTATAACCGCAGTTCAAAATATATGAACTTCATATATTCATCGTATCTGTTTTATTCTTTTGTTAATATCTTTTGTGTTTTTCAAATTGTGATTGTGTAGTGGGTCCACATCAGCCCTTCGGCTGCCAAACAATCTCAACCTACTTCTCAAATAAAGTTTACTTACTACTACCAGGCTTTCCGTACTGGACTTGACGACGTTGTTCTCCTTATGCATTATAACAGATGATTATTTACATATTTATTATTTCTCATGCCACTTAGAAATATATGAATCAATGAATTCTGAGGAAACAGACGCAAAACTTACCTAGCGGTAGAATTAATTGAGATTCATTTCCAACAGCCGCCATCTTGTTCACAATTTATACAACGTACTTTGTGTTCGTAAACAACATTGCTGGCCTATGAACAGTGGGCTCTTGATGTGTACAAAGGCTGACGAGTTACCAGATATGACCAGATATTAGAACGAGATGTTTCCTTGAGAAAATAGTCAAAATTTTTGCGTTTGGGAACTAAACGCACAAAAAAATGGCAGGGGCTGCTCTCAAGAGGCTTATGGCTGAGTATAAACGTAAGTAAACCACAACAGAACGCTTGTCCAGCGAAATTTCACTCTTTAAAGTCAGCTTGAAGAGTTCGAAGTTTCGTTCGTAGTGGTTCTTATGTTTAACGGTTGGTAATTTCCCCACCTAGGTTTTAAGAAATATAATTTTACTAGAAAGCTTACAAAATTGCGTAGTTTAGAAATCGACTATCTGAATTTTTAGTCGTTGACATAGTTTATTTACCTTCGAGCTTTGGAGCTGGATGAGCACTGCTCTTGTGAATTTTATTAAAGTCTGAAATTAGAAAATGGTAAGTAAAAAAAATGGAATATTAAAAAATTTGTATTACTACAGAATTAGATTACAACCCGTCGCATCATTGCTTTTATTATTATTATTATTATTATGTTTGAAAAGGGCTTCATTAATTCGAGTTAGTGTTGAATAACTACCTACGTACGTACAGTTTAGGTTCTTATACATATAAATTATGTTAACCTCGCAAGGATTCAATCCAGAGGAGAGCAAAAATAGTGGCAAATTAAAACTCTCAAACAGTCCATTTTACATTTGTGTGCTTGGTTGCCAAGCCTTTGAATGGGAGTGAGGCTAGGGTTGACCTTGTTATGATACAAACCTTGCTGCCTTTCAAATGTAAATCACTTTGTTATCATGCTAAGTAGATACAGGTCTCTATCACAACAAGGTCACCTTCAGCCTCACTCTGAATCAAAGGCTTGGCAACTAAGTACACAACTGTAAAATAATAGAACCATTGTAGCTTTTTAAGTAAACTTTCTAAAATTCAACAGAGTTGACCCTGAATTCGCCGGAAGGTATTCTTGCAGGTAAGTTGACTTATAACTTTCATAATGAAATTTTCGTTGATAATAGTGATATGTGTATTAAATATAAATATAGTTCATGATGTTTTGATTTGTGTCTGTTTTGATTTGTGTTTTTTTTGTCAAGGGGAGGTGGGGACAATTTCCAGAAAACTGTAAATTGAAATAATAATTTTTCCAGAAATGGTTTTCTGTTTTGCTTATTCTTGGCGAAAATGTACACAATTTCTACAGAACTAAATTAAACAAAAGTTTTTGTTTGTTTTAAGGACCACTCTCTGAAGAAAACTTTTTTGAATGGGAGGCTTTGATAACGTAAGTGAGGAAATTGTTATTGTGGTAATTGTTATTTGTTATTGTTATTGTGATAGCAGGATAAACTTTGGATCATGGGGTGCTAACTGTTGAGTTGTTAGGTTGGATCATTCTCAGAGTTCCTCTCTTTGTCAAGGAGTAGAAATAGTAACCACTGAACAGTCAAGGAAACCTCAAAGTATCCAGTTCTGAACTAGCATCCTCTTTATAGAAAATAACAAACTTTAGTATCCATTGTCACCTTTACCAGGGAACTGTGAAACCGCATTGGCCTTTTGGCCTGATTTTTTTGTTCTCCCATTTTTAGTTGTGGGTATGCGAAGCGTACAAAAGACTGTTAGAATGGGGCAGAATATGCAAATGTGTCACTCCTGTAAATGTGTCACTCACATGAACAAATCCATATGTTGATGGCAGATCAATATTGATAGCGACCTTCTGCAATTATACGGGAATGCCTCTATCACATTTCCAAAGTATTGCTGCGACATTAAAGTTTAACTCGACCTTCCTTCGTAGGAGTCTGGATTCTAATGAAATACTCATTGCAGTTAACCGAATTAAAGCTCTTTGAAAGGCTAAAGGTGTAACTATGAGTGAAGACACTTAATACAATCGCTTTTCTGCAGTCATCTTTCGGCATCATTTGCATTATTGTGGAATATTCCTTGCCATTCCCGGGTATGTTTTGTTTTTAACAAAACGTCCAGCTCACAATCATTCTTAAATACAGTTTCAAGCCTTCACTCTTCTCACTGCAAGCTGTTGGTATTTATATCGTCATATATCGCTAAAATGAGTAACTGGCAAATTTTTATAGGGGAAAGTGAAGCATTGTTTTCCTGACTGGTCAGTTGTTTACTTTTCTGATTGTTTTACTTCTTGTCTGTTTGGTGACTACACAGACATGTATAATAATTTGTGAAAATCATTGTGTGTACACCCCTGAACGTTAAAAATATATAAAGTCGAAGGAACGGTTTTGGTCTAAGTCCACATTTTTGTCAACAAATTGAAAATATACTCATATCGGTTTAAAAAGGTGAAGAGTTCATAACATACAAAAGCTGTCTTTTTTTTAAAATACGATGGCTTGAAATTCTATTTGAGAACAATTGTGGTTGCTTTTTTAAAAACAGAATTCAGTGGCCACTTTGTTAAAAACAAGATATGTGAAGAAACAGGCAAGGAATATTCCAATATAGTACAAATGATCAAGAAAGTGATTGCTTAAAGGCGATTGGGTGACACTCCGTAAGTTGTAAGATGACATATGTTATCATGTATCAGAGGAAATGACAGTTTTCAAAATTTCCAGTCTGCATTCTGTACCCAATCTGCAGTCTGCAGTCTGCAGTCTACATTTTGTACCTAGTCTGCATTTTGTACCTGGTTTGCAGTCTGTATGTTGTACTTAATGTTAGCTAAAAATGTGAACTCTGACCATTCACCCAACATCACCCCAGCAGTTCAAAGTAATACCAAGAAGTTTCAACTGTATCAGGGAGTCACCCATTGGAATTTAATTATCTTCAAAACTCATTCAAGTGCAATGTATCCACGACTTATTCACAGTTTCCTTTGATTTATGGTACTGAATGAAGTGAAGGAAAGGAAATGATAATAGGATTATAGGAAGTGGTACTTGCATGGGTGGGTCCTCCTCCTCTGTATTTCAGGTCAAATGAGAATTTGGTTTAATGGTATTTGCGAAGGAGGGTAAATGGGAGAGCTTGAAGAAAAGCAAGGATGAGAACCAACAATTAACTTGACTCACATGTACTGTAATGCCTGGTCTGGGAATGGAAATTGGGCCATGGTGGAGGGAGGCAAGGATGCTAACCATTGCATCATATTTGCCTCCATTGTAACAGTTGTAAGTCTACGGCAGTCTCGATCAACCTTTATTTCATTCTAGTGGCCCTGAAGGAACTCCATTTGAAGGAGGTGTTTTTACCACAAGACTTGTGTTCCCTCCAGATTATCCTTTGAGTCCCCCAAAAATGAAGTTCACTTGTGAAATGTTCCATCCTAATGGTAAGCATAATCTTGTCTTGTGCTAGTGAAGTAGTATCCTTCAAAATGGGACTACACATATAATTGTGCAAAAATTATGCAGCATGTTTTTTTGTTTTTGGTGTGCATTTTAGTTTATCCTGATGGACGAGTGTGTATCTCCATTCTACATGCCCCTGGTGACGATCCCATGGGGTACGAGAGTAGCGCTGAACGATGGAGCCCTGTTCAGTCTGTTGAGAAAATACTCCTCTCTGTTGTTAGTATGCTGGCAGGTTGGTCAGATGGTTCATTTTGCTATCTAAAAAAGTCCCATTTTGAATAGGCACTTGCACACAATGGGGAGTATCTCATGCTGCTGGACATTGAACATGGAAAGTAATTTCTCTACTTGAATTTGAAAACTTCATAGTACCCTGACCCTTACAACTTTCTTTAATTTGTGTCTCTAGAACTGTATCCAGCCTGCCCACATGTAGCTGCTACATATGGCAATTTTGGATAGATCATTGATGACAATAATCATTTTCACTCTGAGGAGTACCAATGAACCAAATTTTTCCCACAATGTTATTAGTTTTTAAGTCCATTCCCTTATTGTTTCTTGCAGAACCAAATGATGAAAGTGGGGCAAATGTTGATGCTTCCGTGAGTATTATATTACGGCTTGACACTAACGGTAGCCCACTAGCCACACACTAGTAGAAATTCAGTTTTGTCTAGTGGTTTCCAATTTCCACTAGCCAGTTTTGCTAGTAAACAGACTGAAATTGTCGTAACATCTAAAAACATCTAAGATGTCACTAGCCACTTGGCTAATAAGTTGAAAAATTAGTGTCAAGCCCTGTTATATGATGATTTTTATTTCACTCCAATATGAAGGAGGAATAAACATTTGCTTTGTTTGTTTTCTCTTCTCTACTATTTTCATTGTTGAGACCCAGTTCAGTGTTTGCTCATGTCACCAGTCCATGACAGTGGTTGTGGTTCAAATTTCTTTGGTTTAAACATTTTTGTTGAAGGTAAAAGTAATCTGAACCACTGCACAGCTAATTTTTTTTTTCTGTTTTACACCTTACTTCATGTTTTCTTTTCCTTCGTAGAAAATGTGGAGAGAAAATAGAGAAAAATTCAATGAAATAGCAAAACAGATTGTAAAGAAATCTCTAGGTCTTCAATGAGCATTTTAAAATCCTGAGTATACTTTTTTGGTAGTTATTTTACATGTAGTGTATAAAGTGTGACTGAAAAAAAAATTGTTGTTAAGCCATAAGTGAATTTAGGATAAAATTTAAAAAAAGTGGGACTTAGGAACACACAATAAATGAGAACACATCACCTCCATGATTTTTAAATTTGTAGTTTAATAACTATATAAAAAGTTAAAAATACAACATTCTGTTATATAAATAAGGATGCATTTCAATGAAATTTCTTTTCCAATGTGATGTTATCCCACTGTCACAGGCCCATGTCAATATGAAGCTTAAATCAGGAAATCAATTCTTCAAAATAATACTTTTCAGAAAAAAGGAATATTTACCAGGAATATGGCAACTATATTACTTCAGAATTGAATATACTAATGAAAAGCTGTGACTGGATGGTGCTCTGAACTCTCTTGCAAAATGGCTGTATTATGCATCTGTAATAAAAACTATTGACTTGTGTGGAAGTTAATAGTACTAGTGCAATATTTAAGGAAAACCCATTTTGCTTACAAATGTATGCAATATAATTAAAACTTAACCTAACTTTATAAAATCGTCTTGTTTAGGTTATGTTGTCTTTTCCAGCCAGTCTAACAACTGTAATCAATTTTAAGCTGCATCAGTGCATGTAACGTAGAACCTTTACTACCACACACAGTGGTAAAGGCAACTTGTCAAGTGGAGATGCCATGGAAACTTGACAGTGCAAAATTGTTCTCTCACCTCTGTCAATTTCTTTGACAGGCACAGTATAAAAACCAAATTTCAATGAAAAACTTGTCTTTCTTCCATTTGTACTGTATACCAACAATAAAAACATGCCAAGGAAAACAGCAAAGCACAAATGCAGTGTTGACTTATTCATGCATGTCAGAGCTATAAGGGTTTAATAGTAGAGGAGGTAGAGCTCAAGAAGGTAATGAAGGTAAAAAATACAAGGAGTACACTTCTGGCAGAAGAATGTTTTACAGACACTTATATCAGCACTATCAGGGGCTTTGAGTTGTCAAAGATATTCCCACAAATAAGTGAATATAACCACAGGGGGCCCATACAATCTGTTTGTGTAGCCGACTGTTGTTTTATAGTGAATGTACCAGATTTACTGTTTGCCTCACCTAGAGTGATATATTGCTGACTATGTACATAAATCATTGATAACTAAACATTGAATTACTTTACCTGTGTTGCATAGTCATCCTTTTGCCTCAAAAATGTTTTTTTTTGAGCGATTTTGTCAGCAATATATCACTCTAGGTGAGGCAAACGGTAAATCTGGTACATTCACTATAAAAAAACGGTCGGCTACACAAACAGATTGTATGGGCCCCCTGTGATATAACTAACCAAAGCTGGTAAATCTCCCTCATGTTGGATTTACATCATGCAGCTCTGAACAAAATGGCAGTTTGACAGCCCCATGTATTGTGAATTGCAAGGTACCATGGGGTGATGCAGGTGTTGCAAAATGTCCTCTTGGAAATGTTCAAAACTGGTGTAAAGATTACAGATATTTTCCAGTCACTCTGCTGTCTTTATTTTTGTTTTGTTTTTTGTTTTTTTTCCCTGAATGCCCCCAATGCACCTCTTTAGCATGTACCTCTATGTTTTGTTGAGCCATTCCACGTCTAATTGGAATTCCCAGCATTATCTTTTGTAAACTATGTGTACATTTGCACATGAATAACACAAAATTTGAAAGAAACAGTTCTCTAGAGTATTATCACATAACCGGAAATGGGTAAACAAAAGACATGTCTTGTACAAGCTAGAAAGGTCTATTCCTTGTAATTGAAGATGACTGCCATATTGGTCATCTGCAAACTCACCCTGTTCTCTAATACCTGGCACGTCAGCAAACAACAGTAAAAGTCTATCTAAAACTACATTCAGATGTTTATAAACTCCGATTGTTGACTGGCACTTACTAATTGTTGTACTATGGTTAATTCTGTAATTTCTTTGGCATAGCCTCTCGTACATCTACAGTAACCTGTGTGTAAAGGCGATGTTCTGTTACATTTTCTACCTTATATAAAAGAGAATTAATTCCATCAGAAGCCATTCTTTGGGCAGAGTCTTTTAGTTTAGCAAACCTGTTGAACAAAGTAACATGTGGTATAAAAATGTGCAGCTTAAGAAAACAAAACAGAGAAAGCCTTGACTGAAATCAAGGCTGTGCTCTAAGAAAAATTGAAGGGAGCCCAGTGCTCTGAAACTGTTAAATCCAGGGTGGCTAGCATATGCTTTTAATGAAAAACTAACTAAAGATTTCTGAGTTGCCCAAGAGCAAAAGTAAAGTGCCAGGGGCCACTGGGTGCTGCTAGACCACAGTCCTGGAAGTATACTGTTATTATTCTACATGTACAACCAAGAACATATTCAACCAAAATAACAAACCAACCTGCAAGATTTGACAGACAGACAACTTTGATTTCATTGTGATAATGAAATCATTTTAAATTTTCCAGTAAGAGTGGTTTTCTAAACTACAATCAAATGCATCAGTGATAAACATTTATTTTGTCCATAACCTACCTATCTGGGTCTGCCTTGCCACTGGTGTGAAATATCTTTAACATTTTGTACCTCCCTACTTGCATTGATGGTCGAGTCAACTTAAGCTGCTTTGCTGCTATCCTAAAACAATGTACAAATAATTCATGGCTTCAAAATGAATTTTCCCAATTAGCCCTAAAGCAATACTCGCATTAACTTTGGAAACATTTTCTAATAAGCATTGATGATCATGAAAAATAGCCCAGGTAAAGGAGTTAACTGGAGAGAGATTGAGTTTAAGAACGAAAAGGGGGAGATCCAACAACATAGTTATGGCTGCAAAATTGTAGAAAGGGGGGGAGGGGTGATTTACTGTCCAATACCTTACAATGCAAATTTTGAGTTACAAAAATTATCAGCTGAAAAAACAAAACTTTCACCTGTTGTAAAGATCATCATCTTCTCCTCCCCAACCCCAAAACTGGTTGGAAAATCCATTTATAAGTTCAAAGTGTTCTCGGGAGAAAGCGCCCGCTCCTCCAAAAATAGTTGAATAAGGCAATCTAAGAGAGCAAAACATTAAATATGGATAACTATATGTTCTGCAAAAATTACAAGGTCAGGATACAGGGACATTGTGAAAACACTGTTGAAAATCTTATTAAATTAACATGTAAACATTAATAGATCTAGATTATAATGCTGCTTGCTGAGATTCATGAAGACTACACAGTCAAGTATAATTATAAGGTTGTTGATCACAACCACTTACCTATAGTTAAATTTATCTATGGCTACTGATAAGTGTCTGGGCGATGTGGGACAGCTGTAATCATTTCGGTCATCTTCAGGTATTAAGTCAACATCATGGAATATAAAGCACTCAAAATCATCAAACTTCAGAGCTTCTTTATAGCCAATGTTAAAAAGCATGGCACGGTTAAAAAGGGTAGTTCCACCCTAGAGAGGAAAGAAAAAATTAGCAAAACCAGGTGTAAAAATATGTAAGATAGGTGGAACTTTTAAGAGAAATAATTGTACTGATATGAGAAAATGTTCAACTGATGTAATGCTTTGAGGGGAGAACTTGTGTACATTTTGGGCAATACAGTACTGTGAACACATAATAATGTTGGAATTAGAGAAAAGTGGGAAAAGCAATCAACCATTACCCAGTGACACCAAAAACCTTTACTTTTTCATGTGATTACCGATAAGATGAAAGGAAAAAAAGTTATCCTAAGATGATCGCGAGGTTCTTATACATTTTGCCACACCTATCCTGTTTTGTGAGGTTGACAAATCAAAATCAATGGAGAATACACTTGTACCATGGGACACCTCAGATCTGAGTGATACTTAGTGCATACTGTTTCAAGTGTCAAATATAACAGACCTGTTCTATAACCATGATTCTGTAGTCCAAATTCTGCCGTCGAAGAATAGGGTGCATTTGTCGTACAAATATCTTCAGTTGTTCAAAACGATTGCGATATGGAATAATTAAGGCCAACTGACAAGAGATAAAAGTAATCTTAATCAGTAGATATCGAGACTATGAAAACTACAGATGCCAAAAACAAAACCAAATTCAGCAAACTATAAAGAGAAATCCTGAAAATGGGAATTATTTAATATGAATTTTGATATTTTAATTCTCTATTGCACCTCCACTTTTCCTTTCCTGAACTAGAGTGAACAAATTTGGTTATTTTTATTATGTGTCCATAAATAAACTGCAAGCTCTATTTTCTGTTCAATGCAACACTGCAAATGAAATGGGCCCCGAAGTACAGCCATTGTTAAGATCATGGGAGTTACAGAGTTAAAAGAGCTTTTCAATAAATAGAGTTAATTAAACGAATCACCTTCTTCCTGGCTTTACATTTAGTTGGTTTCGAATGACCTCCATGGTCAACCCAGCCTTTAAAATCCTTGGACATATCCTTTTCCACATCTTCTATCTTGGGAACTTGTGAGTCTACATATAAAGCTCCAACTGAAAAAGAGTAAAAAAAAAAAAAATGATTATTAACAAAAAGGGTATTCCTAGCACCAGAATGGAATGCTATAGTCTGCAGTCTACACTATCTCCATAGAAATCATAGATAATTATTGTAAGTGTCACAGGGAGTTGCCCTCAAAATTTTTCAAGTAATCACCGATTTGTGAAGTTTTATTAACAAAGATTTAGTAATACATAGACAGGTAAAAACGAACGATATATTATCCCAATGTTTCGGCGACTTCATGATGCCATTATCAAGGGTACAAATGAAAATAAAATTAACAAATGCAAGTTCAAGAGTTACAACTAATTTGCATAGGGGAGGTAGCTACACAAATAGTTTAGCACGGATAGAATCCGTTTGCACGTTCAAACTCGGTGTTAATTGTTTGATGTAAAGCTTTACATCAAAACCGAGTAAACGTTCACTGAGTTTGAACATGCAAATGGATTCTATCCGTGCTAAACTATTTATGTAGCTACCTCCCCTATGCAAATTAGTTGTAACTCTTGAACTTGCATTTGTTAATTTTATTTTCATTCGTACCATTGATAATGGCGTCATGAAGTCGCCGAAACATCGGGATATTATATCGTTCGTTTTTACCTGTCTATTTGTGAAGTTTTAGTATCAAAATTATCTGAACAGCACCATCCAGTCTGCCTCACAGTGATTTTCCTGTCATCTTTTAATAGGCTCACAAGGGATGTTCATCTTTCCATTAAAATCCATAGAAACTTGGAATGTGCAATATAAACATACAAGATCTCTGTTTCATTCTAATTTTAGATTCCATAAACATTCAAGATCTCTATATTTCATTCTAATTTTAGATTACATAAACATTCAAACAGCACCAAACCTCCCCATCCCTTTGATCATCCCAACCCTTTTGCAAATCCTCCTTACAGCAGGTGGTTTTATGATCTCTCATCCCTTAAAATGCCTGCTAGATGCTCTGACCAGCAGCTAAACAAGGTTTTCTAAGTAGTAGTTGTTCAGTCCCCTCCCGGATCACAGCCAACTTATTTATCATCCACAGGTATTAATATAAACTGTTCCAGAAACCCCTGCTTAAGCATCTAGCATTATTTACATGACAAGCTGAATTATATGCACATTTTGATTGGTTCCTGTTCAACATCTATTAAAGGATAGATGCATAGATGATGTCGCCACTAACAACATTTTCATTTTGTATCAGATAAACAAATAGCACCCATGTAGCCTTGGGTCTGTGTTGCTCTAGATCACAGAAAACATCATAATGACGAAAGAACATCAGTGAGAAGCTTGGCTGCTTCTATGCAATTTGTTTGGTTCTTGCTTTATCTTGACACATTCTGTGATCTATTATTGAATAGAAGCAAAACAACATAGAATCTGTTTTTTTTTTAAACATTGGATAGTTTATTCTGTTAAAGCTCATATATTTTAATTTGGTTAAACAGTAGCTATTTACTATATTATTTGTGCAGGTTTGTAGACTTACCATTAATCCAAGAGATGAAATTTTGGAAGGACAGGGAGGGCAAATATTGCATAATTGTACTATATATTTTGTATTATTAAAAACTAGATCATTGGATAATGCAATTCAAGACTTTTTATTGGCTTAGCCATTATGGTATATCAGCCAATATACCATAATCTACAAAATATGATAAGCGTGTGTGTCAGCTTAAAATTAAAAGAAGGGAGCTAAAAATTTAATAAAATTTAATAATTTAATTTAACATTTTTAATAAAACAATTATTCCACTCGCGCTTGTTGGATATGAGATGATTATAGCCAACTCAGCGCTACGCGCCTCCTTGGCTATCTATCATCTCATATCCAACGCACGCTCGTGGAATAATTATTAATTATCCATCTAGATATATTTGTGTTAATGATATCATAAATAAATATTCTGGTTTTGGAAAAATTGCAAAAACAATTTATCTCTTTACTCTATTGACCTAAATGGTTCCAACTAGAATCGATACCCTCGTTCACCTACTCTTAGCCCACAACAAAGTGATTGATCGGAGAATCAGCGCCACGTTGAACACGAGTTGAGAGAGGACTAAGTAAACAACCAATAAAAGATTTGCTTAGGGCCTTTCACGTTTCTTTTTTTTTTGCATGTTGATCATTGTCATTCTCGAAGAAGGAGATTGGTTTCTATGCAACATGGCTGAATGCTTCAGTGAAAAGCGGTAAAGGTTGAGGTGTTAAATGACATTAAACTTAAAAAAAAATTTCAATTAACTTGATCTTAAGGTTGAATTTGAACTTGTATAATGTAGCTAGATTGCTCAAAAGAGGATCCGTTGAAATCAGATGATAATATTTTTAATTCAGTATCTATATACATGACAAATATTACAATGGGCGGGTAGAGTATTTTTAACGTAAAAAAAAAACTGCTTAAAGATAATCAAACTGTGTCTCACGTCGCGTCTCAATCTAAGTTACTAAGATTATAGCACATACTCAATGATTAAAATAACACATAGCTTACCTAGAGTTGGTGACTTTTCGGGACATAAACTTAATTCTTGATCAGAATTGTTATTGCCACCAACTTTCTTAGTTGGAATGAAAATAGCTACGCTTGTTGTTGACGTGCTTGTTGCTTTTTCCGTTTCCGTTGGCTGAAATATCGTAACTTGGTTGGAACTACTAATAGCCTTCTTTGAATCTTGTGTATTCTGTTGTCCTGTCTCTTTTGTGGACTCTTCTTCGTTTGAGCTCAAAGTTGATTGCGCGGAATTCTTCGGTTGTGTTTTTTCAGTTGAGTTTAACGACTCTTCGAAAGCGCCAGCAATCAAGTCTGGTAAATTAATATCGGCGCTAAGATTTTTCCTCTTAAATTCTGTAATATAATTCACTCCCAATGCCGTATAACGCGAAAAAGTGACAGAGTAGTAAAACATCACAATAAATGAAGCCGTGGCGACGACGAATGTACATATCATGAATTTTTTCAACCTGTCTAACTCAACCATTTCATCCACTTCAATAGCGTCGAACTCTTTGATTTAATCGAGTTGAAGTTATTAAAATTCAGCATCTGGCGTTTAAAAAAGTATGTTCCTCAAGCCGTAGGGAACAATTAATTGGAGAACCTTCTACATCAACCAAAAGATATAGTTAGCCGCCATTATAGTCAACCAACTATAACCAAAACGAGGCAACTGTCGTCACGAAAAGGCTGATTCTTTGAGAACAATCGCTACCTATCGTTACCCAAGCTTCACTACGGTAGGTCTATTCCGGGGTGAGGGGCTAAGGATGAGGGGTAGGGTATGTTTCACGCGAAAGAAGCTCATATTGCTCGACGCAGTGAGAACTTCTACTTTCTTAACTAATGAAAAGTAAAGAAATTTTAAAATCAGGTTTGCATGGCCTTTCCGTGTTGAGACGTGTCAAGATCTTAGAAACCGAGAATTGGCTACAGCCCCTAAAAAACGATACGTATGCGTAAAAGTGCAAAGTCGAAATGAAAAAAAAAAAAAAAAAAAAAAAAAAAAAGAAAGAAAATTAAAAAAAAAAAAGAAAGAAAGAAAAAAACCAAAAGGCGAAAAAAACCAACTAATATCTAGCCATCTTGACCGAATAAACTTGGTCAACGAAATATTTATTATCACAATTATTATATTATTATCGCTTTATGAAGAATAGAGAATTACTTGTTTATTTCGAGAGATGGGAAAGCAAGCCAACTGTTTTTGTAGCACAGTAAACCCACAAGAGTCGTTTATGTTTTTTTTATTTTTACTGTTTTCTACCGCTCCAAACAATTTTCTTTGTCGTGCGTAACCAAAGCGGGTAATAATCCAGTCTGGGCAAGGTGGGCTCATCTTGCCTGCTCGTGTTCGCTTCATATTGCCCACAAGCACTGCCAGCCATGAAATAATAATTGATAATAATTTACTATTAAGAATGTCAAAAACGCACGCTGTAGATCGCTAATTCAGCTACTGTTTCTTTTTGTATAGAATGGTGCTTAATGCAGCTAATCATTTTATAAAATGATTAGCTGCATAAAACATAATTGGCTTCATAAAAATAGCTCCATATTTTTTAAGGCACCATTTTATAAAATGATTAGCTACATAAAACATAATTGGCTTCATAAAAAGTGCTCAATATTTTTTAAGGCACCATTTTATAAAACGGATTCGCGGCATAAAACATGATTGGCTTCATATCTCAAGCACCATGTTATAAAAAAAAACAGCGCCTGAATACTGGCGGTAATGGCACTCCGAACCAGCTAACGCCTTCTTCTTTTCCTTTGTTTACCGTTTGTTGTTCAAATAGTGCTAATTGTAGTAAAAATTTTGCGTGCGCTTTCTTTGTGTCATTTCGTAACGGTAGGGAACGTTACGGAACGTAGCATGTATTTAACCGTATTGTTTATCGTAGTTCGTGCAGTTTTTTCCAGTAAGGTCGACTACATTTTGTCATTCGCATCGTGCAGCTATTTCTCTGCTGAGGGAATCAACAATATCGCAACAAATGAAGGCCCAGTTTAAACGTCGAATTTCACATGTGCCGAACTTAATGCGAGAGTTAAATGCATGTGAAGTGCGACGTTTGAAGCAATTAAATTCGACTGTTTTAAATTAAATGCGAATTTTGCCGTATCTGCCACTGAAACAGTCGAAGATTCGACTAAGGTTCGACTTTTGATTCAAACGTCGCATCTCACATGTGCCGAACTTAATGCATGAATTACAGGAAATTATCATAATTCATTTATTACCTACAAATCGCCAGGAATTCTATGAATGCCATGCGCGAAAAAGCCAAAACAGCACAAA